ATACCTCTAAAGACTTGTGGTTCGATCCTCTAAAAATCTGCATTTTTGATTTAGCTTTGATCAAATTTTTGACCCATTTTCATGTTAGTTATTTCTTATTTTCCGATGTCTTGTAATAGAGTTACCCAAAATTGGACTTCTAGAGTCCATAACATTACCAAATTTAATCCGATTCCAAAGTGGCATACCTCTAAAGACTTGTGATTCGATCCTCTAAAAATCTGCATTCAAAATTTTCAATTTAGCTTTGATCAAATTTTTGACTCATTTTCATGTTAGTTATTTCTTATTTTCCGATGTCTTGTAATAGAGTGACTCAAAATTGGACTTCTAGAGTCCATAACTTTACCAAATTTAATCCGATTCCAAAGTGGCATACCTCTAAAGACTTGTGATTCGATCCTCTAAAAATCTGCATTCAAAATTTTCAATTTAGCTTTGATCAAATTTTTGGCCCATTTTCATGTTAGTTATTTCTTATTTTCCGATGTCTTTTAATAGAGTGACTCAAAATTGGACTTCTAGATTCCATAACTTAACCAAATTTAATCCGATTCCAAAGTGGCATACCTCTAAAGACTTGTGATTCGATCCTCTAAAAATTTGCATTCAAAATTTTCAATTTAGCTTTGATCAAATTTTTGACCCATTTTCATGTTAGTTATTTCTTATTTTCCGATGTCTTTTAATAGAGTGACTCAAAATTGGACTTCTAGATTCCATAACTTAACCAAATTTAATCCGATTCCAAAGTGGCATACCTCTAAAGACTTGTGATTCGATCCTCTAAAAATTTGCATTCAAAATTTTCAATTTAGCTTTGATCAAATTTTTGACCCATTTTCATGTTAGTTATTTCTTATTTTCCGATGTCTTTTAATAGAGTGACTCAAAATTGGACTTCTAGATTCCATAACTTAACCAAATTTAATCCGATTCCAAAGTGGCATACCTCTAAAGACTTGTGATTCGATCCTCTAAAAATTTGCATTCAAAATTTTCAATTTAGCTTTGATCAAATTTTTGACCCATTTTCATGTTAGTTATTTCTTATTTTCCGATGTCTTGTAATAGAGTGACCCAAAATTGGACTTCTAGAGTCCATAACTTTACCAAACTTAATCCAATTCCAAAGCAGCATACCTCTAAAAACTTGTGATTCGATCCTCTAAAAATTTGCATTCAAAATTTTCAATTTAGCTTTGATCAAATTTTTGACCCACTTCTAGAGTCCATAACTTTACCAAACTTAATCCAATTCCAAAGCAGCATACCTCTAAAAACTTGTAATTATTGTTGCTATATATTTTCCGCTTTACATTTTTGTTAACAGTGCACCTCTTGATTCGCCTGGGGGCATGCATCAGTGTCAAGGACGCCGCCGCCCGCAACGTGCTGCACTTCGTCATCATGAATGGAGGGCGGCTGACGGACTTCGCGGAGCAGGTGGCCAATTGCCAGACGCATGCCCAGTTGAAGTTGCTGCTCAACGAGAAGGACAGCATGGGCTGTTCGCCGCTGCACTACGCCAGTCGGGATGGGCACATCCGGTCGCTGGAGAACCTAATCCGGCTGGGCGCCTGCATCAACCTGAAGAACAACAACAACGAGAGTCCACTGCACTTTGCCGCTCGCTACGGGCGGTACAACACGGTACGCCAGCTCCTGGATTCCGAGAAAGGATCATTTATCATCAACGAAAGTGACGGAGCGGGCATGACTCCGCTGCACATATCCTCGCAGCAAGGACATACGCGTGTGGTGCAACTGCTGCTCAATCGAGGTGCCCTGCTCCATCGGGATCATACCGGCCGTAATCCTCTCCAGCTGGCGGCCATGTCCGGTTACACTGAGACCATCGAGTTGCTGCACTCGGTGCACTCTCATCTGCTTGATCAGGTGGACAAGGATGGGGTGAGTGGATATACATAGCTCTGGGTTACTTCCCATACTATAACTGATGGGTTAATCCCTACAGAACACCGCCTTGCACCTGGCCACCATGGAGAATAAGCCCCATGCAATCTCCGTGCTGATGTCGATGGGCTGTAAACTGGTCTACAATGTCCTGGACATGAGCGCCATCGACTATGCCATCTACTACAAGTACCCGGAGGCGGCCCTGGCCATGGTGACCCACGAGGAGCGGGCCAACGAGGTGATGGCCCTGCGCTCGGACAAGCATCCCTGCGTGACCCTGGCCCTGATCGCCTCCATGCCCAAGGTATTCGAGGCGGTGCAGGACAAGTGCATCACGAAGGCCAACTGCAAGAAGGACTCGAAGAGTTTCTACGTAAGTGTGCCGTTTTCCCAGGGTGGTCCAAATCCTCATCTCATTCCATCGAAGCTAATTGATTTCTATTCGCTATCATCGACTTTATCGTAACCAGATCAAGTACTCTTTCGCATTCTTGCAATGCCCCTTTATGTTTGCCAAGATTGACGAGAAAACCGGAGAGTCAATCACGACCGCAAGTCCCATTCCGTTGCCGGCTTTGAATGTAAGCGGAACCTGGAATCCTTCCCAGATCTGTTGCATGCTTGTTTCGGTGTTGCTTTTCCTGCCCCCACCTTATAACTATATTATTTTGGGGGTTCAATCGTTTGAAAGGGTTACAGATTCAGGGCCAGCGGGTGTATCATGATCCATAGTTCATCATAATGGTCAACAGAACAACCTCTATAAACATTACTTGGTTACCATCCAGATAAAATATTCGTTTTGGCCATACCAAAAGACACCCGAACAGATCGAGGCCAAGCGCGAAGAGTTCAATGATCCCAAGTGGCGACCCGCGCCTTTGGCCGTGGTGAACGTGAGTGTCCCGAACTCTCTTAAAGATCACAGAGCTCTGCAATTGTGTATCGTCCCCAAAAAAAAACTAACCCACTAACCGACTCACTGTACCTGGCTTTTGTATCCTGTATGTTGTGTGCGTGTTTATCCTTTAAAAGTCAGCTCATTTCTAAGATATATGTTTCCTTACGATCTCGGTTAGACCATGGTCACTCATGGCAGGGTGGAGCTGCTGGCCCATCCGCTCAGCCAGAAGTATCTGCAGATGAAGTGGAACTCGTACGGGAAGTACTTTCACCTGGCCAACCTGTTGATCTACTCGATATTCCTGGTCTTTGTGACCATCTATTCCTCGCTGATGATGAACAATATCGAATTAAGGGCTGGAGATAACAAAACGACGAGTCAGTACTGCAATATGGGGTGAGTTTTTATTTCTTAATGATATATATTGAAGCTCATAATAAAACCTTATCTTTAAGCTGGGAACAATTGACCATGAATCTCTCCCAGAATCCTGCGGTGGCATCCCAGATTCGTTTGGATTCCTGTCAAGAGCGGATTAACCGAACCACGGCAATACTTTTCTGCGCGGTGGTGATCGTGGTCTATATACTGCTCAATTCGATGCGGGAACTAATACAGATCTATCAGCAAAAATTACACTACCTTCTGGAGACGGTGAACATTATATCCTGGGTCCTGTACATCTCGGCTTTGGTGATGGTAGCGCCGGCTTTTCAGCCAGATGGAGCCATCAATACGATCCATTATTCGGCGGCATCGATCGCCGTGTTCTTGTCCTGGTTCCGACTGCTTTTGTTCCTCCAGCGATTCGATCAAGTTGGCATCTATGTGGTCATGTTCTTGGAGATCCTGCAGACGCTCATCAAGGTGCTGATGGTATTCTCCATACTGATCATTGCTTTTGGCCTGGCTTTCTATATACTACTCTCAAAGGTGGGTTGTTATTATTGGGTTTCTTAATATGTATTGATTATTTTCCTTCAGATTATTGACCCCCAACCGAACCACTTGTCCTTCTCCAACATACCCATGTCCTTGCTGCGAACCTTTTCGATGATGCTGGGCGAGCTGGACTTTGTGGGCACCTATGTGAACACCTACTATCGTGACCAGTTGAAGGTGCCCATGACCTCCTTCTTGATTTTGAGTAAGTAATACTCTCCCTATTAACTATTTAATGGGTAATCTAATTCAATAATGTCAGGTGTCTTTATGATCCTCATGCCCATTCTCCTGATGAACTTGCTCATCGGTTTGGCCGTCGGCGATATTGAGTCAGTGCGTCGCAATGCCCAGCTGAAGCGGCTGGCCATGCAGGTGGTGCTCCACACGGAGCTGGAAAGGAAGCTGCCCCACGTCTGGCTCCAGCGAGTGGACAAAATGGAGCTCATCGAGTATCCCAACGAGGCCAAATGCAAGCTCGGTCTCTGCGATTTTATCCTGCGCAAGTGGTTCTCGAATCCGTTCACCGAGGATTGTAAGTTAACTGGAAAGAGATTTGGTATGAGAGCCAATCAATACTCCTTCTACTCCCATGCAGCCTCCATGGACGCCATATCCTTTGACAACAATGACGACTACATCAATACGGAATTGGAGCGGCAGAGGCGCAAGTTGCGGGACATAAGCCGCATGTTGGAACAGCAGCATCATCTGGTGCGGCTCATCGTCCAGAAGATGGAGATCAAGACGGAGGCGGACGACGTGGATGAGGGTATATCGCCGAACGAGCTACGCTCCGTTGTGGGCCTAAGATCGGCGGGCGGAAATCGATGGAATTCACCGCGGATCCGGAACAAACTACGGGCCGCCTTGAGCTTCAACAAGAGCATGTAGATCCTGTCAATCGACGGGACTCGGCTATATAACTATATATGTGTATTGTCCCCCGTAGTAAAATTGCACGTATCTGAACTTATATCTATTTGTGTGTAAAATGTTGTGCCACAGTGAAGTGGATCGTGTGTGTGCATGTGAAGATTGTATTGTTTGAGGTCCTAAAAGGAATTGTACAACGAATTTATAGGCAAGGATCATGGGCTGTTCTCGTAACTTACACAAGCTGTGGCTTTCAACAGATCTATTGTAGTTTTAAATGCAATTTGCAAAAATTATGCTTTGTTATTTGGATGTCTTTTAAAAATAATATACAATAAAGTTATACTATCCACCGAAATTCAATAGTCAAATACAAAATTCTTATTTATTTATGACAATGATAAATGGTAAAGTGACAATGTATGTGAATATAATATTAACGATTGGCGATAAAGAGACAAAAACTTAATTACTATTTGTAAGTTGTACGAAGAATGAAGGGAACTACATGAATGTGATCTTCGTGCGTCCCATGTTGACCTGCCAGACATTGAGTTCCTCGTAGTCATCGATGCACTTGTCCACCTGGTCGGGTTTGAAGCCTTTGGTGGTGCAGCGGTCCATGATGTCCCCGATCTTGACCGCCTTTCCAGAGCCAGCGAGCTCGCGAACGATGGCGAAAATGCGATCAGAGGTGTTGGGAACACTGAAAAGGGAAATTAGGTACTTGTTAGAACAAAGAACCAAGTTGAGGCTTAGCCAATACTTACTGTCCCTTCTGGTGCTCATGAATTTGGTTCAGCGAGTCCTTGGACATCTCCAGCAGACGTAGAGCTTCCGCCACATCATCCTTCTCCACGCTATCGGAGAGACGCAACCTGGCCAAAGCGGTGGACAGACGCAGGATTCCCAGTAGGTTACGGGCCGAGGTGAAGGTCATGTCTTTCTGATTGCGCGCCTCCCGTCGCAGCTCCACATAGGCGCCCACAATGTAATCGGTGAGTTCATCAGGAATGGTTGGATTCTTGCGCTTGCACAGGTTAATATAGCGCCGCATGAGATTCATGTCCAGAGCCTTGACGCGAGTCGGCGGCTGCTTGCTGTGGCTGTGCACATAGGTGATGTGCTTGGCCAGCCGCAGATCGTTGTCCCGATCCGGTTTGTCCTGAATGAGCCACAGCAGATCGAAACGGGAGAGAAGGGCAGCAGGCAGCTGAATGTTCTGCTCAACGGTTCGGCGAGGATTGTATCTGCCAAAGGCAGGATTGGCAGCGGCCAGAATGGATACGCGCGCATTGAGCGTGGTCATAATGCCCGCCTTGGCAATCGAGATGGTCTGCTGCTCCATCACTTCGTGAATGGCCGTACGATCGTGATCCGCCATCTTGTCGAACTCGTCAATGCAGCAGACTCCCTGATCAGCCAGAACCAGAGCGCCTCCTTCCAAAGTCATCTCGCCGGTGAGAGGATCCTTCATCACAGCAGCCGTCAGACCCACTCCCGAAGATCCTCGTCCTGTGGTGTACTGAGACCGCACTGCCAGACGACTAATGTAGCCCAGCAGTTGAGACTTGGCCACACCGGGATCTCCCATCAGACAGATGTTGATGTTACCGCGAATCTTCATCCCATCGGGGCGTTTGTCTACACCTCCAACCAACAGAAGCAGCAGCGCCTTCTTCACATCCAAGTGGCCGTAGATTTCGGGGGCCAAGCTGGTGGCCAGTCGTTCATAAAAGTCATCCTGGGCCAGCTCCTCCAGCTCATCGGGAGTCAGCTCGGCATCCTTGTCCGAGATCTCGTCGTTCTTGTTGATGCAAATGATGCGCTATATGGAATTACAAAACATATTACAGACTTATATTGTTTAGCTGCATAAATATAATAACTCACGTGAGCTTGAAGGAATGTCTCCGATAGCAGACCCTGGATCATCTGAGCGAATCCACTTCGCATCAGCGGCAAGAAAACACCTGAGACCACGATATGATCTCCGGGCTGGGCCATTCGAGTGACCTCACCCCTGCACATGATGGTCATGCTCCGGGGAATGTGGCCCACGGGCACCTGGTCGCTGTGCTCCTGCATCTTGACCTCCTGGAACTTGACGAACTTGGAGCCACGAGTCTGTAGATACAGGCGACCCCCCGCCTTATTCACACGGCAATCATCCGAGGGACAATCATGCACCGGCGTGAAGGAGAGCGAGTTCACCGGCTGATAAGTTTCCGAGCCACAGCGATCGCAGGTGTAAGTGGCCACCACCATCATGGGCTTCACCTCCGTGCAGCGGGTCACGATGCCGCGAACGGTGACCAGTTTGCCAATGTGCTGGGCCTTCACCTCGCGGATGGAGTGAGCCTTCTCAGTGGACTGGGGTTTGAAGCTCACCTCGCTGAAAGAGTAGAGAAAATTATTACTATTTAGGCATTTTACGATTTAGCAGAGAGCAATGTTATGGCAAAGTTGATTAACATTGTAAACTAGTTCTTAAAAATCCAACGATTAAACATTACATTGTAATGTATTGAATAAGGGTACAAAAACATTAGTTTTCTAGTCCTTAAAAAAATGCAAACAGGCTTTTAAAGATTATAATTTAGAAAAATTGAATGGACATAATCTCAGATAGATAGAACTACTTACAATCGCTTCATTAGCTCCGAGGGGAAGCTGTTCCGCTCGTCGCGCTGCTCCATGGGATTCCGGGTGCGGGACTCCATCATCAGGCGGTGCTCGATGTAGACATCCAGTGCGTCCTTGGCGCTCACCTCCTGCTGTTTGTAGCTGGGCAGGAGTTCGGCAATCACATCGCTGAAAATGGAGGCATACCGCCGGCAATTATCGATCACCGCCTCCGCGAGGCTCTCGTTGAATTCCGCCAGATCATCCAAGTCGATGGTGATCAGCACTTGCTCCCGGTGGGCCAACTTCACCAGTTGCGAGCCGTAGACAAACTCCTTCTTGCCATCGTCATCGCATTTGCAGAACTCCGACAAAAAGGTCTTGATAGATTCTGCAAATAAAAAACATTGAATGTTTAATATTAACTACATTTAAAACACAGCTTTTTAACTCACCTCTATCCTGAGCATAGTCTCGTCGAGCCATTTCGCGTTTGCTTCTTTTGTGGTTTCAACAAAGAACAATTAATGGAGGACAGCTGCTTGCCAAAGGTGTTTTTAGAGACGCTGTTTGCTGGGAAATGCGAGGAAAACAATATAATGAAAATGCTTCCCGCCAAAAATGCGTTGTATTTAGAGATGGAATATATAATCGAGGTGGAGAAACACCAATGTCATCGATGTTTACAAAACATCGACAAGGCATCATCGATATTTTTCCAAATCTAACGAGTGTTGAGAACGAACCACTGCTTACTAAGAAGTATTGAGCGGTACACTGCTTATTGAAAAAAGTGTCATACCTAGAGCTGCTTGCTATGAATAGAGCCAAGCGGCAGACAGCTTATTGAAAAAGTGTTATAATTTAACTGCTTGCCAAGTCACATTTAAAGGAATTTACTGCTTGTTAGGTTTGAGCATCGGCTAAAACTATCCCCACTCATGGTGAGTTCATGGCATGTCAGCGTTGCCACCCCACCTAACTTAAAGCCCGCGTTTATTTTGAATTTCAAATATTGACGTTTATTCAGGTTTTAAATGAAATTTACAAAAGTTTTCGTTTTTCTGCCGTTACTCTCAATTACTCATAGCACTATTGCGTCTCGCTTTCAATAAACTTGTTGGACTTGCGTTTCTTGTTACATAATTATTTATTGGTTTTTAGGCATCTAAACGTAGTACATTTATTTTGGTTATCTCCAAATAGATTTACAACGATGATTTCCCATCGCACAATGTGGCTGTTTTTTTGCGGTATACATAAGTTACAATTTAATATGTTGCGTTTACGTTTAACTTAAATATTATTAATCACATGCAATAGTTAAATAATAATGATACAAATAATAATTATACATAGTTCAACCAGCGCGCCCGCACACACACGATCTGATCGTGATCGGATCGGATCGAATGTGTATATGCGATATATATGCCAATTTGATGTGTGCGGTGGCAGTTGGCGTTTCCTTTGTTAATTTGCTACTAACTAAATTTGTTGTTCTCGGTCAACTTTTTGCTTTTTACACGTTACGAACTAATCGTTACAGTTTACGCACTAGCATATAATTACGATTTAATTAGTTAATTCATTTACGCATATATATATATATATATATATATGTATGTATATATAGACTTTATTCTTATCGCTGGCGTCGTACTCGTATTAATGCATATTTCATATTCATTTGTATATATATATTTATTTGTTTTTTAGAGTGTCGCCAGCGCTGCTCTCTGGATTTGATTCAGCAGCGCTCTGCCCCACTGTAAAGTATCCGTTAGATTGCAACAATAGTTTCGTTTGAAATTGCAGATTGCGAATTGCAGATTTGCAGATTTGCAAATTGCGAACTGTGATTTGTGCGCTGAACTCTGCCTTTTCTGCACTTTCTCTCAGAATTTCGAGTGCTCCATAAACTCTAATTAGCTGAATGCATTTCATGACATTTCCCCAAGGTCTTCTCTCTTTTCTTTTTCAAATATAATTTAAATAATGCTACATATAATATACGTATATATCAATAGATTTTCATCGATTTTTGTTTCGTTTTTTTTTTGTTTTTTCTTCGTTTTTGTTTTTGTTTTGCGTATAAAGCTGTAAGTCTTCTAGTTTTTCCGTAAAGTGCGTTTACTCAACTAAATTCCATTCGTATGCATTTCGCGTCGATTACCCAATTGATCAATTTCTAAATTGTTCGCATTCGTTCAGTTCGAAATGTGTAGACAACAATAATTTCGTTTAAGTTTAAGTTTAACATTCACTGAGCTACAGCTAACAGATTTATATCCTTTACGTATAATATTTGTGATCGCTCCAAGAACTAGCCATTGAATCTGATTTCGTTACTGTTTACTTGTTTACTTGTTTAGTTACACCGAAAAGGAACAACTTGCTTTGAACATTGAGCTTTATGTACTGTACGCTATATATATTAACATGTATCTGAACAAACTTCACACTCTATGGAAAGGGTTTCGGCTTGAGTCTGAGAATATTTTGTTTAATTTTCGTATAGTTATTTTTAGCGATTACTCGATTCGTATGCAAATCTCCAACACGTTTATATGGCACACAAGTCTAGTTGGATTCGGCATGGAAATTCGATGAGCTCCAAATTTGGAAAAGCTAGAAGGAGAGGTGCGCTTCAAAAGTTCAGTTTTCGCTTCTGGTGTGTGAATTGTTAGTCGATTGCTAGATGAATGCGCTTAGGGCCTAATAAATTACTTGTAACAACTTAAGAATTACACAAATAATAATAATAATGATAATAGTTATTAATTAATGATTTAACTCGATTCTTGTGCATTTGCTGTTGCTGTTGTGGCTTATTCATTCCTTGCCCTCGCTGTGGGGCACAATTAGTGTCCAATCCCGCGGATGGGGCAGCATCCTTAACTGCAACTGCTGAGGAGCATTGTGACTAGAGTGAGGAGCATCCACGTCGCGGTGGCCGCCAGTGGGTTCGACCCACTAGTTTTGTCCCCGTCGCGCGGCTCCACTTGATTCGATGTGGAGTCCTCGGTGTCCTCGATGGTCGTGTGGGATCCTGAAAGGGTTTAATAGAGATGGTTTTAATAGGGTGTATTTTAAGAACAATTTGTGATGAATTAAAACTGCCATAAAACACTTTTCTCAGATTTGTGATTTTTAAAATGTAACTTATTTTGGATATTATAAAGCCAAACTTTAAAAAATGATTGTTAATTAGTTTTAGCTCAATTTTGAACAGATAAATGCACAAAACGTTTGAACAAATATTGAAAAAATATTTATAGGTTTTGAAAACAGATCAAATTTGAAATCGTATTTCGTTTATAAGCTGAAAATTGAACTTGTTGCATACACATAGATTACCCATTTTTTAAACAAAAAAAGTAAATACATTAAATTGTTCAGACATGAAACTTGTTAATAATTTGTTAAAATTGTAGATTTTTTTTTAAATTTTAAGATCATAATTTTTTAAATGTTTAACTAATGGTTAACTGATAGTTCCATATTGTAAATAAGTTTAAATATTATATTTTCTAGATGTTATTAAACACCCTATATTTATTAACAATAAAATGACAGTAGTTTCTGATCACATAAGTCAGAATGAGTAGCTTACCATCGCCGGAGCCATCACCGGAACCATGTGCGCCTCCGTACTCCTCCTCGTCGTCGCTGATCTGGCCCTCTCCGCCGCCGGAGCCTTCTCCCATGTCATTCTGGATGTCGTGCGACGACTGTATGCTGTTGGAAGGTGCCTGCTCAAGAAGTAGTTCAATTAGTTAAGGTCCAACATCCTGAAAAAGGGAGTCTAAACCTACCGCAGCTCCAACGCTCTTGCGGATCTTGATGAGCTTGTCGACCAGCTCGTTCAGCTGGCTGACCTGTGTATTCGGATTGAAGGGCACTTCGGGATTGTAGCGCTGTCTATCGGTTCCCGGGTCAATCAGCAGCTGGGTGTAGTCTCCGAAGCGATCGCCTGTCCAGCAGTGATCCTTGAGAGAGTGCTGCTCGTCACAGAAGCTGTTGATTGAAAACAGTAATACTAACTTAGCAACCTTCTTTTGTAACTCAAACAAAATGGCCCATATAGTTTAACAAAAACAGTCCCAAACAACTATTGCGTGTTGACAAATTCCCTTTTACATTTAAAGAAAAATAAAAAAGAAACAAGATGTTCAAGGAGCTCGTTCTGTGGATGCATCGTTTGGCCCACGACTTTTGCTTATCCCGTCCATTAGCTCCGATACCACGACATGTAAGTCTTGCTTTTACCCATCCTAAAAATAGCAACCTTTTAATTTCTAACACATGTTCATAAACTAACAATAATGTAAACCCAATTTTCCACGTTTAGAGTATTTCCGAAGAAAGTATTAAGACCTATAACTATAATTTTAAAAAATCCCATCTTCCAGACATTTTGTTAAGGCATATGGTCCAGCCAAAGTATCTTTTCAATTTTATTTCAAATGAAAATCGAAATTTGCATATTCGCAAAGCCAAAAAAAAGAATATATTTAGAACTTCCAAGAAATTTAATTTAATCATTAAAATGTAAATGAATGAAAATCTAAAATTGCATATTCACAAAGCCAAAAAGAAAATATATATTTATAACTTCCAAGAAATTTAATTTAATCATTAAAGTGTAAATGAAAGCGTAGTGATGAATAATTCCAAGTCGTGCGGAAATTATAAATGGGTGATTTATTGTACCTCCTATATATTAACCCATTATTTGATGTATATATCAAAAAGTAATAGTATTGATTTTTGCAGGGCTGTCGCGTGCCGGTGAAAAACGGTTTCATTGCCAATTTGATTTTCTTTATTGCCATTGTGACGCCGCTGTACTTTTGCCTGCTGAAGGATGTGATCGCCATGATCACTGGGCCCAAGAAACGCTAGCAACCAGGACATCAGGACCCTACACCATTTTAAGTCATAGCTTGGTCAGTCAATGTAGTTAGTGTGCAAACCCAAACAAAATACAATACTTTGTGGCATCGTCTGAATACTCACTTGTCCACGATGGTCGTGTAGAACTCCTTGCTCTTGTCGATGGTGGCAAGTAAGACGACCATGCCCGGATCCGGGGCCTGGGCCCACTTGATGTTGTTCTTGTGGAGCGGAGGCCGTGCCTCCGCCTCTCCACTGGAATAGGGCGTCAGGCTGGGCGTGCCGCACGTCTTCTTCACCTGGAAAACAAAGGGGGGAATGAGCTTCGGTTCTTGAAAGGGGGTTTCCACTTCCACTTGCTAATCGCCGCAGCTCATGCAAGCCGCACGTGTTTCCCTGCCCAGCTCAGCCACTCGCTGCCCTGCATGTAAATTGCAACTTTCAGGGGGTGGAGGGGTAGACTCTTCCGACTCCACTCTAATTTAGCATTTTAAATTCCAAGCTACATGCCAATCATGCGACGGGGCATCAATTGGATGTCATGTGCACGTTCAACAAGCCCTCGAAATGCCCAAGATATTTTTTCGAGGCTGCTGCTGCAGCAGCGATCAGAACAAGTTCGAAGGCCGGAACTGAATTCCGATTCATTAAATTCATTTAAAATGTTCATAAATTAACTGGCAATTAAACCATTAAGCGAACGTGTCCTTGGGACACAAAAGTAAACGAAATCGATCGTTTCTTTCGGTGGAAAGGAGCAGCAATGCCATCGAATGAAATTACATATAGCTTATAAATGTTTTATGTGATTCTAAAGTTAGGTTAAGTACATCTTATTTAGCAATACATTTTACAACTTAAACAAGCTTATTTTTAATATTTAATATTTTTTCCAAGAAATATAATTTTCCAAGTTAATACTTTTAATAATCCCAAATCGTTTTAATGTTGTGTGCTTTTTCGATAAGATAAATTATTTGGCACTTGGGGTTTTAATTTCTTATTCTTTTAATCTTGGGAGTAATAAATTTTGGAAAAAAATAAATTACCCCAATCCAATATTTTTAATGACGTCGAATTATTTTTATGTTTTGAGCTTGCTGATTAAAAAAATTATTGTGCCCTCAAGGATTTAATATCATGAAAAAAACAAATTGGTTTAATCTTGGGAGTATTTAAATGTTGAGATCAAAAAATAATTACTATTTGTTTAGACTTCGAAATTGTGATTTTTGAAATCACCACATAATGGATATTTATTTAGTCTAATGAGTAGATGGTTCTTTAAATGGGTCCACTCACCTTTTGCTCCAAATCAGGGCTATTGTTCATGGCGGCCATAATTGCATCGGAGAGCTTGGGCTGCAGCTGTTTGATGACGTTGATGATGCCGCTGTCCGACAGAATGTGGGTGGTCACCAGGTTGCTGAGGGCGTCCACCACACTCGACCAGGGGCTGTCCAGCAGGCCAGCGAATTCCGCCGAGCAGCCGCTGAAGAACGTAAAAGAAATACATAAAGTAAACATCAAATATTAAAGCAAACATAGCTAATGAGGGTCAATCTGAACATTTTATGGTCAAAAAAAATACAAATTTAAGAGCTTTGTGTTTATTCGAAAGATATTCTTGTATTTAACAATCAAATTTTATTTTAAATGCCAATCTTTTTTTTTGTTCTAATCAAACTATTAAATGGTTTCATTCTTTGATATTTAACTGTCTATTTAAAATTCGCTTCGGTAAAAATTTAAAATTCATAAAAATTAGTTTCGTTATAAAATATTTGTACAAAAAAAAAACCATATTTTTAGACGTTAGAATTTAGATATTTTCGTTTCTAATAAAATCTTCAAGTGAGCTTAATATCAAATATTTGCCTTTCTAAAAAAAAAAGTTTTCTCTAAATTAAAAAAAATAAATTTCTTTATAAAAACTTTGTTTTCATGAATAAAAATAACTATTTAAATTATAAGGTCTAAAATACTGCCTTAAATAAAATTCACTCTGAAAGTAAAGCATCACTGGGTCTTAATTTAAGTGATAAAATTTGTGTTTGTGGACATAAAGTCCCCCAATTTGGGATTCCGGACTCACCGCATCACGTTCTTGCAGTAGCCGTCGCACAGTTTGGTTCCGCTCCCCGAATGGTGGCCATTGCAGTTGGGGCAGTAGTGCATCTTGAGGAGCTGCTGCTTGCACGTGTCGGTCAGTTGCTGGCCATAAAGGCCATCCGCCTCGCTAAGAACCTCGGCGGCCTGGAGCAGGGCGTTCATGAAGACATTGGACATGTGGACACTCTGGCCGAGACTGGCCTGCAGCTGGCGGGGAATGTCCCCGAAGGGACGCATCTCGTCGAAGTTGTGCTTCAGGCAGTTCACATAGTCCTCGTGCAGATCGCCCATGTTGTTCTTGGACAGGTGCACCTCCCGGTGGTATGCAACCGGGAATAGTTGCACGAAGAACTGCCTCACAGCCTCCTCCAAGTTGCTCTGGACACTCCCAATGCCACGCCTACCCAGCTGCCCATTGCTGTTCGTGTAGTTCGAGGTGTAGATCAAATGGCTGTATGGGGAATAACTCGGTTAGACTTATGGCACAGCATTCTAAATTATGTAGTACATTGGAAAAGTTTATAGCCTAACATTGATAGCGAGTTAGCTCCACTTACTTCATGATTTCCGTGTACAATTGATGGATCATCATGCGGGATTGCGGCACCATATTGAAGTAGACCGTGGAGAAGAGGGTGTGGGTCATGTTCTCCGAAATCTGAGCCAATTCCAGGACGTGACCTGCCGCAAGAAATGAGAGGAGAAGAGCATCCATGAAAGCATTGTTATGGTTATTGTTATTCCTAGCGAAATTTAATCACTTTGCCGCTAAAGTTTTCCCCTGCCGGGATTTGCGAAACTTCTGCCCTAATGGACTGGCTGGGATTTCCGCCCACTCGGAAAAAAGAATTGTTGCCATTGCTCTTTATCTCTGTGTACGAGTAAGCTTTTAGTTAATGAAATACAATTTAATATGGCTGTTTGCACTGCCTGGCGAACTTAAATATGAATAAGCTTGGTGGAATAAAAGTTTGAATTTACTGAAAAATGAAACAACAATATTATAACCCATTAACATTACATATTTGAAGTATAAATTGTTTTTGGAACTCTTTAATTTTATCTTTGGAAATTATTAAAAGGTACAACTCTGGAAGTTTTTAAAGGAATTGAAGGTATTGTCATTTACGTCACTAATATAAGTCTTTATTTTGTGTAAATCATGTAAATTACTCTTGCCCAAAAAGGGTATAAAAAACCAGCCAAATTGGAAACAAAAAACCTAAAAGTGGTGTTTTCTTTTCCTATACAAAGTTAATTATATTTTACGGTCTTAAATTGCCAGCTATCAACTACTATCTATAATCTGTCAATCATTTGGCGAATCACCGAGACCAAGTTGATAAATTCTCTTAATATTCAGACACTAATCACATAGCTGAGCGTAAGAAAAACCAAATGTGACACAATGCACTATGGGGTTTTTGACCACTTTATGTGGCATTTAGTCATTTTTTAAAAGTGCTCTAATTAAAAAAAAAAAATGGGAATGCATTAACAGAACATCAAACTGTTATGCCTCATACTCAAAATGTTAATACTTAACAGCATATGTTAGCATAACAGCTGTAAAGTCAGCTGTTGCATGCGAAAGTACCAGCGCTAAGTTTGCAATTTTTTCAAGGCGTTCTTTGAAATTAATTTATTCGTGTAAAACACCATTTGAAAAGAAAAAAATAAATGTAAACTGATCTCACAGGCTTGTACTATATGTTAAATGTATTAATTGTTTAAATTATGCGTGTTTATACTAATATTTTGTCACTTTATAAATGCACCTTAAGCTGAATTTTGAGGAACAAATTTCAACTTTGGGAAGAGTTTTGAAATAGAAGTTTGCATTAGTTTTCAATGCGTCCAAGTGTATGTTGTAGCCTTGTCAATTCTGAGCAAAAATATGTTAGTCTTATTGTGCACTTTTCCGCACTATTGGTGCAATTTGAATTTTTCTTAGATAACCTCACTTTCTCCAACGCCGACTTGGTTGCTGTTTGGAATAGCAGGAAGGGCCGGCTTGAGCAAGAAAAGGCTATACAATGTTTGATGAACAAATTATTTATAATATGAGGATCATTTTTAAATGTTTGTCCTGTCAGTTGCCCGTCAATTTGGACAAATTCGAATCATTTTGCCTACAAACTGGCGAATTGTTAGTCGATATGTATCCGTGGCTGCCGATGAGTTTTGAGTTTGACGAAATTTTTTCTTTTTGCTTTTGTTGCACTTATTATCATCATCTTTTAAAGGCATGGACCAACAAATTTCAGCTCTTTAAATTTCATTAATTTTTTTTTAGTTTTAACCGATCGTTCCTATGGGAGCTATAGGATATTGTTTCCTGATCCAAACGATTTTCACACTATATGTGCCTAGGGACAAATAATGACGATTGGTAAAGTTTCATGTCGATATCTCCAAAACTGACCGAGTTATTAATTAATGCCACAAAAACAGGTCAAAAACCCCATAGTGCAATGTTATCTGTCAAGGTGTCAGCGGCAGTTGTATTTTGCGAATTGATTTGGATACATAGATTGGCTATCGATACCCAGATACAGATTCAGATTGAGATACAGATACACTCCTCTGGCAGCCTGTCATTAGCGCAGATTACAAATGGCCAAGGCCAGATATATATCGGCATATATAGACAAGTGTGGGATAGAGATAGCATCGGGGGAAACTGTCAAATCGGCGTGTGATTTCTCACACACAAAACAACACACACACAAATTCTAAATTGCAATACGCTGTCTTGTATATCGTTTTCCAACGAAAGTGTCAATCTTTCTGTTAATTGGCAACAAAAGAACGGAGTGCGGAGAACAACAAAATATACACATTTCAACAGGGCAAAAGTGTTTTCAGATTTGTTCTGTTTTCTTATTTTTATTTTTATTTTTATTTTGCTGTGTGTTCTGCGCTGCGGCTCATTTTGATTTTGATGTTGGAGCATTTCCGTTCTCAGCGTTTGAATAAGTCTTTGTGTCTGCTTTTTGGGCTTGGCTTGGAGCTGTGTGTCGATGTGTCAGTTTCTGGGTCTCAACTCGGGTCTCATTTTATCGGCTAATGGCCTTTGATGCGTCATCCGAGGCGAGCAGAGTTTACCCTTTTTAATTAGCAGAACTTACGAGTTTGGGTTCCGATATTTGGCTAAACCAATCGTTGAGCAGAGGATATGCGGCACAGAAAAATAGGGCCCTAGAATGGCCATCAACTCGGTTGGGTTTCCCATCAAAATAGTTTTATGGTGTGACGGATCAACGGGTGACCGTAAATATCACATTTATATTTTAAACAATCTTCAATAAAATTGTTATGGTATTTTAATTACCAGTTAGACGCGATATTATCGGTTGAAAGTGTGTTTTATGACTTGTACTTCCTTGAGTAAATCATAACTGTTAGAAATTATTTTAGATCAAAGAATGTTGTTCAGGTTATTAAGTACGTTAATTAAAAACAAAAAAACGAATATATAATTTTAATTAGATGTTTGGCGGGTTCACAAAAATCCAAAATAAAAATATTAATTAATCAAGAGGCGTATTAATATACAATTTAACCAAAAAGTTTTAGTAGAATAATGCTTTTAATTATGGGAAACCTATTTCTATTGTTTAAAAAAAGATTTGTTGTACACAGTTTACTTTATAATTTACCCCATTTAAGTGTTTTATATTGATACGTTTATCCTAGTCAAGTACGATGTCTATCGCTACGATAAACAGGGTTAAAATGAATTCCCATAGCATTGAGTCAGGACAAATTCGAGTGGATTATGTGTGTTTGATATGAGATTCGATTCCTATGCCATTTTGCCAGTGGTTTAAGCGAGGACCAACTGGTGGGACCGCTAATCGCTCGACAGTGGCTGACAATTGCGCAGGATGCGATAAACAATGCCAGCCAATTGATTTAACGCGTTTGCGATACAAGGCAACCATAATAACGTCAGATACAAGAGATACCAGCGATACGGATAGCGATCGGGGGCAGGAAAGGTGCGGAGCTCACACATCCTGTCGCTAATCTCATTGACGTGGCATAGTTAAAATGGAGCGTCGACTGGCGGAAACATTTAATTATTAACACGCCGCGACGAACGTGTTGATGTGCGGGGATCTATATATTCTCACACTAGGCGACATTGGGAACCCCCTCGCTCGATTGCCTCATTAAATCGGCGGGAGAAGCCGCCGCACAAAGTGAACCATTAGGGAACGAGATGGAGTTGCGGATGCAGACAACAATTACATGACTGACATGCCTGAAATAGCTTCGATTGATTGGAAATATTATCATCCTCTAGCGCTGGCAATTTCCCCTATCCGGATTCCCAGACTCCTTTGGTGGGATATTTGGCTGGTTGCAGTGGCATTACTTCCTTCGCTTCAATGCCTAATTGCAATATTAATGAGCTCTCTGTGAGAGCGCAATTGTCAAGGGGGGGTGGGTATACGGCCAACGCTGCGTATGCTTGATATGCATTATTGCAGCTGCTTTTGTTGGCTTAATACGCTCAATTAAGTTGGAACCCACACAGACCATGGGCCGCCTCAGGTGGCATGCATTTGTATCTTTGTATCTCATAAATTGTTAACTCAGCACTTCACCTGCGGGCTCACACAAAACTTCATATGCAATTTGCTGGACGTTTGCGTTGCGTTGGCTTGTGCAACTAATTGCAATTTCTGTCCAGCTCTATCTTTCTCTCCATCTCTGTCCGTCCGTCTGCCCTCTCGCTCCCTCCACCTTTGTCCAGCTTTTGACAATTAACCAAGGGCACTTTTATTGTTGCAACCAGGAGGATTTTACCGTATCTACGCTCGACCAGCAATCAAATATAAAGCTGGCCAAATGGCTTTCCCAATGAAACATGAAAATTTCATTAAGCTTGCCCTTATTTTTTTTGTGTTTTTTTAAAGACCTTTCAGGTGGGAGGAAAATGGCAAAGGGATCCACGCTCGTCACACATGGAAAATCGCACTAATGGGCACACAGACAATGAAATTGAATTAGACAACTAAGTGCGGCCAGTGTAGTTGCCCCGACGGAGAACGGAGGGCCAAGGAACTCCTTTTGCTCCCAGGGCAATCCGAAAACCAAGCCCATGAACAGACACTAAAAATCCATTCATATGGCTGGAAGTTTCGGTTTACACAGGGGAAAAATAAAATGCATTTATATTTTATTTAGTTTCTCTATTTCTTGCTCTATAAAGCAATTTAAATTTAGAACTGAGTTTATCATTTTGTTGTATAACTTGTAATTGAAAGTTAATTTAACTAATTAAATTAATTTTATAATTCAAAAAGTTCCCTCCAAATCTCAAGTTTTCCACCTTCAAATTTGTTTTGTTTTAAAATTTAAAAAAAACAAAAGTCGGAAAAGACTTGCAAAATCATTATATCTCAAACAAATTGTTATAAGAAAAATTGAATCAAAACTAGTAAAATTTTGGTAATGTAAAAGAAGAATATTTCAAGCTTAAATAAATTTGAATTTTCCTTGATTGAAAAATGCTTTAATTTGATAATAAATTTGGAAAACCTTTAACAAGTCCTAATGTAATTTCGTATATATATTTTGTGCAGTGTCTTTCTTAGCTAGTCGCATAGAGCAAATATCGGAAAAGACTTCGACTGAGTCTTTGGCTTCATTGCTTCATTAGAAGTCGT